TAAGTTACTTAAGGAACCCTGAAATCTTTTAACTAGGCTCAGAGTAGTGTACTTGCAGACTATGTCTATGCAGAGTATGCATGCGGTGGACCCTAAATGCGAGGGTATCGGGACGAAGGGTCCTCGAACTTTCCTTTTGATAACCCCCCCTTGTGCGTAATCATTACTTCCCGTGCCCCCATGTGAGGTACCCTGTTCACGCGCACTATTGACGTAATACTGACAACAAATACCAACACCGTGCTGTACAGCACAGCTGGCAACAGTGACAAATCACCAAAATCAATGATACGTTGCTGCCATGTGCACCGCGCAGTGCACAGCATGCCTCTGCCATTGGCCATAACGGTTTGTCGACAGTATGCGGTGGCAGTCCAGCAGTACTTGAATGAATTCGGCCTTGCATTCAAGGTCGAATTCATTGACGAATGCTGCCATCAACCTTGTGGCGTCGCGCCACGGTGGTTTCGTGATGACCCCGCCATCTCCAGCCTTCCCTTCCTTCCCCCTACCCACAGCCAGGCTTCTTTCGCTTCCTGCTTTTTCTTCCATTTCGTGCGTTCAATCTCACACTTTCCTCTCGCTCCATCTTTCATCTATCTCGCCGCCATGGAGGGCCTGCCGGCCGACGAAGCTGCTCCTTAGACTGGCCCTGACGAGCCACCTTTACCGGCAAAACCGACAGCGCCAGCCCTGCCGGAGAAAGCATCAAATGCTCCCCGGTCTGGGCTCGATTTTCTTAGAGCTACCGGTGCTCCGGTCACACCAGAACCTCCTAGGTATAGCGTTCATGACTCTACAGCTAGAGTAACCCCTACTCCTTCTGATTCTCCACGTCCTGACACCTTCACTCTACCCCCGGCTGTTGCTTCTTGCAGCAAAGATCCCCCACCGCATGACAATGACAAGCTGGCAGATCCTCCACCGAAAGAAGCTGAGCTGCGGGAGGAAGTTGACATCCCTGTGCGCGCGGATACCGGCTCGCCCGCACTCACCAAGATGCAGCTGCGAGAGCAGATGTACCTAGAGGCGAGTACTAATTACGAGACGAAATGGTCGCGACACTTCTCCTGGCTGGTGTTTGGGAAGACCAAGGACGGCTTTCCCTACATGAAGTGCAGCATCTGCATGTCGTACGCGAAGGGGAACACGAGGTACGCCATGCAAGGTGACGACGGTGGCCGTGACTTGCAGATGCAGTCGCTCAGGGCGCACGAGCATACGGACACACACATGGCGGCGATGGTTCGGCAGTTGAAGATTGCGGCGGGCATCCGCTAGCGTCAGCAGGTGATTTCGGACTTCATCAGCTCCGACGTCTAGGGGTGGCGCGCAATTCGACTCATGCGGTCTACGCAGTTCCTGTGCCAGTGCGACGCACCGATTAGCATGTTTTCGAAGCTGGTGCATCATCTTGCGGAGCAGGACACGCCAGACATTCCTCGACAATCTTACGGCATGTATCTTACACGGAAATTAATCTTACCGTTCTAGTGCAGCGTCACGTATGTAGCTTGTCGTTTTTTTTATATATATATCTGTTCCTGACCATCTCATTCTCCTCTTTGTAAATACGGCTTCCAGCAAATGGTTCACAGCATCAGTACATACCTCACTCGGGTGCAGATGGACCACATCCTGGCATCCCCCTTCCTGGGCATTTAGTGCGACGAGAGCACCGACCGAGCTTGAAGGAAACGCATGATTGTGTACCTTACGTTTTTCAAGAATCGCCAAATCTCATGCAATTTACCTATTACCTCTTGATTTGTATTCCCTGCATCCAACAGTGAAGCGTTAGCTGTGAAGGACGCCGCTGAGTAAAACCCGGACCTTGGCATGGTCGACAAGGTGGTGCGCACAGTGGCTACGCTACTCGGAAGCTCAAGCGTGTGGAGGCAGCGGTTCAAGTACCTGCAGCAAGTGACCTACAAGACAAACCTCGAAGTCCAAGGAATCCACACGGTTCGGTGGCTGTCACGAGGTGATGCGGTGCGCAGGCTGTGCAAGGTCCTCGGTGCTTGCATCGTGCTGCTCTGGGAGCACAACCAGAAGGCCTACGAGATTCTGACGTGCTATAAGTTCCAGTTTTGTTTGTTTTTCCTGGCCGACATTCTGGCCGACATGAACGACCTCAACCGCTGCTTCCAGAGACGTAAGGTGAGGTTGAACGCTAGGTAATCGAGTTTCTAGGGTAAGGAGAAAAGTGTCGAGAGAGTTGAGAGAGGAGAAGTGTGTTCACTAGGAAGAATTGGGATACAAGTACAACACCCTAAATTGGGTTGTACTCAATACAGAGTACCCCACTGCAGGCTAGACAGCAAATACATTCTGACACACCCCCATAGTCAAAGTGGGGTATAATCAGTACAGCGTGCAGGTATAGAGCAAGAGTTCACAATAGGTAAGTAAGGCTAGAGCTAATCACAGAGGGCAAGTGAGGAGGAGGAGAGACTGTGGGGGAGAGAAGATGGGAGGCGACTGCTGACGCTGCAGACACACCGACGAGCTGTTGGCTCAGTGGCTACCGGAACAGCGCTCCGGACTACTGGGGCAACTGGCCCCGCGGCTAAAAGTAGCGGCAGACGAGCAACGGACCCACGGGCGACTGGCGACTACCGGAGATTGTAGCCTCCGGACTGCTGCTGCTGCTGACGACAAGACTGCTGCCTCCTCTCAACCTCCCCCAGCTGCCCAACGCCCCTCTCACACACCCCCTGCTCAAACCCTAGCCCTACACCCACAACACCCCCTTAAACCCTAAACCCCAGACTCCCACACATCCACCCCCCTCAGCGATAGCTGCAGCAGTCGGAGACGAAGGTAATCAAGTTTCTAGGGTAAGGAGCTGGAGCAGGTTGAACGCTAGGTAATCAAGTTTCTAGGGTAAGGAGAAAAGTGTCGAGAGAGTTGAGAGAGGAGAAGTGTGTTCACTAGGAAGAATTGGGATACAAGTACAACACCCTAAATTGGGTTGTACTCAATACAGAGTACCCCACTGCAGGCTAGACAGCAAATACATTCTGACAAGTATGTTGTTGAGATGTGAAGTGTGATCCTACACTGTTGCTAATCCTACTCCTTGTTGTTGATTGCTGTTGTAACAGCTGGATGTGACTGCGATTGCGAAGACTATTGAGTCTACCACGGATGACCTGACGGAGCGCTACTTGACGACAACCAAAGCGTTCGGGGGCAAGAGGAAGAGCTGGCTGGTCAACTTCCTCAAGGTCCACAAGGAGGGTGGAGGCAAGCAGGTCCGAGATCGAGGCGTGGATGGAGAGGGAAGCCCAGTCAACCACCTCTACACCATGCATGAGAGGAAGCTGAAGGGCCACAAGCAGGGAAGCACCTACGCAGACTGCGTGAAGCCGTGCCGCCAGTTCGCCCGCGACTGCGTGGACAACCTCAACAACCGGCTGGATGACCTTGGGAAGCTGGGCTCGACGAAGCTGTTCCGGGCGGGGAAGTGGGCGAAGATCAAGGCCCAGCGAGAGAAGAAGTGCAAGAAGTGGCTGCACGGATGCAGTAGGCTGTTCCGCAACAAGCTGCCGGAATTCGACCTCAAAGCAGCAAAGAGGGAGCTCCCGACATTCTGCGCGATCATGGAGACACACCATGAGATGGAGAGCTTCGCCCAGGGCATGTCCAACTTTCTTGGGAGCGTAGACTCAAAGAGGTAGCCCACTGGTTGGGTACAAGATTTTTGACTTGTTGATTCGCATCCCAAACTGGTTTCGTTGTGTTTCGAATGTGCTTGGCAGGAGATGGCCCAACCTCATCCTGCTGTGGCAGGCGTTGGCTGTGCTTCCCCTCTCCACCGTGGAGTGCGAGAGGGGGTTCTCCAGGCAGAATGTCATCAAGTCCTGGGTGCGAGGAGCACTTTGCAACGCGTGTCTTGGGGAGCTGATGCAGATATCGCTCCTTAAGTATGAGATCGACTGGCCGGAGGCACTGGAGGTGTGGAGGTCCATGCAGAGGAGGTGCATTATGAAGAGCCTGAACCTGGCCGTGGCAGAGAGGGAGAGGAAGGGGAAGCAGAAGGAGGGTGAAGATGTGGCTGCTAGAACTGCCGAGGAGAACGAGGATGATTGGGAGGAGGAGGAGGACGATGAAGTGGAACAGGACCTGGGCAACGATCAAGAGATCGTGGGGGAGGAGGAAGAGGAGGACAACCCTTTCCTGTCGAACGATGAGGACGTGGAGGAGGTGTACCACATTGACAAACCCGTGCACTAGATGGTGTAGGAAAGTTCAAGCTGTTGTATCACTCATTTTGAAGTGCAGTGCAATATTAATAGCAACCCTGATTTTGAGCTGTGAACCCTGACGGATCAGATTATGGCTTTGCTTGACACTGAGCTATCAGAGTAGCTACCTTGTGAAAAATGTGCCATCATAATAGAGGGAAAAATCTTTCCCCGGAATCAGGGAGGCCTAAAACGAAATGTCAGCGTTGATATAGCTTACATCTACATGTTTTCGTCTATATTCTCACTACATTGACACTCAAACATCCAATCAAATATTTTCTATTACTGGTTACAACGATGAAGATCAAGCGAATTCTAACAATAAATTGATGCTTACGCATTACTATCAGATTTAGTATGATATAATCTATATCTGATAAGAATAACATTCTCTCACAATATTTGAGATTTTCTTGCAACTTGAGTATCCCTCGGTAAAAAATCAATGCCTGTTAGCAATGTGCGCCAATAGCGAATCATTCTGCCATACTCATCGTTTGAGCTGGTCCGCACGCACCATCGGGTCATAAGGGAGAGATTCCTATCTGCACAGACAGAAGTGCATCAGGGCTATTCCAGGTATACCACTGCTTCCGCTGGTCCTTCGACAGGGCTGGTTCAAGCAAATGTCTCTCTCTTTCTCCCATCCACTGCTGCAGCAATGTTGATTAAATGCCACTTTGACAGCGTTTGACGACAATAAAATATCGTGTTCTGTTGTTATCGTACACCTAACGCGCTGCAGCGATGGCTCATATAATGCGCCGGTTGAGGCCACAGACTCGACTGTTTCTTGGCCTTCAGCGGTCATTTAGCTCCACAGCAGCCGAGACGGGTGAGAGGCCGTACAATGCCTGTCGAGGTCAAACGCGTTTTATCAGCTGACCAGATGTCCCTTGATGAATGCGCATGCAGGGGACCCAAACTTTTTGGAGTCCGTTGATATTTATTTCGACAAGGCTGCTGCCATCTGCCATGTGCCAGGGGACATCCTGGGACAGATAAAGGTATTTGTTTCCCGAAAAAATGCAACTTTGTCCCGGGATATGTTCTGGAATCACTGTTGCTAACTATCTTGTATTGGTCGGGACTTCTCTAGGGATGCAACAATGTTCTCAAGGTTCAGTTTCCACTGAAAATGTCGAATGGCACAGTCGAGCTTATCGAAGGCTATCGAGCTCAGCACTCTCATCACAGGCTTCCAGGTTTGCCTTCAAATTAGTCTTCCGGCATAGAAAGGCTAAGGTGTCCAGAAGCTAACTGTTCGCTCGTCTTGTCGCCTTTTTCAGGCAAGGGAGGTGTCCGCATGGCCCCAACTGTGGACGCAGATGAGACCGTGGCCCTTGCTGCACTGATGACATTCAAGTGTGCAGTTGTTGATGTTCCGTTTGGTGGAGCCAAGGGAGGAATCAAGATAGGTAAGCAGTCCCAACAAAATGCATTCCTCTTGTTGCTGGGAAGACAGTAAGAGGGCTGACTCGCCTTGTTTGTTTTGTCCACTACTGACCTTATTCTGATGAAACGAAGATCCCAAGAAGTACTCGTCATTTGAAAAAGAAGCTATCATTCGACGGTACACCACGGAGCTTGTGAAGAAGAACTTCATCGGCCCTGCTATTGTAAGCTAACTCAGCTTTTCTGTTTCAAGCGTGTGCGCTTTAAGTAATGTTTCTGCCTGACCTGTTACCTGACGTGCATCAATATTCGTATCTCAGGACGTCCCGGCACCTGACTACGGTACAGGACCACAAGAGATGGCGTGGATCAAGGTGGGTCTTTTGTCAGCTGCTTTCGCAGTATTGTAACTCGATCTGACTGTTTGTATGGTTGACTTTCAGGACACCTATGAGACTCTGAGGCCAGATGATCTCAATTCGTTTGCTTGTGTCACTGGAAAGCCCATCGAAGAGGTATGCCGTTAATATTTATCTGGAGGTCAATGAAAGTCTGAGAACCAACACTTACATTCGTGAAAATGTGACTACAGGGAGGCATCCGTGGTCGGACTCAGGCTACAGGAATGGGCGTCTTCATCTGCCTGAGGGAGTTCCTCAGCAGCAAGGTGCATATTACCTTTTGCTGAGTGTGGTCATGCTTTACTTCTCAATAAACGTCTCTCACAATGGCTCTGCGGTTTCTTGACAGAACTGGATGACGAAGCTGAACATGTCAACGGGTGTCGAAGGAAAGTCATTTATCGTTCAAGGTTTTGGAAACGTCGGTCGTCATACCATAGATGTACGTCCATCTTCTTTCATTTCCTGTTCCTTTTGTCCACTCCACTATGCAAAAAGGACATCAAGGTAGTAAGTTATTCCCCTCTCCTGTTCGGTCCACAGGCTATTGTCACAGCTAAGGGAAAAATCACCGCCATTGCTGAGTATGATGGTGGTTTGGTGGATGAGACTGGGAACGGCCTTGACATTGAAGGCATCAAGCTATATCATGCACGGAATGGCACCATCACGGGGTTCCCAGGAGCTAAAACTGTAAGCACTCATTTGGGCTGCCAATACGCTCTCTGGAACCAATATTTCTTTCCTAACTCCTGAAAATTGTTGTTTGCAGGTCTCTGACCCCTTCTCCATACTTGAGCTCCCTTGTGATGTCCTCATACCGGCTGCACTGGAAGGCCAGATTCATTCAGGAAATGCCAGCCGCATTAAGGTAGAAACCTAGTCTTTGACTCTTCAACTTCCAGCTAAATATTGCTGAGGACTTTATGTTGTGATTCTCGTGCAGGCCAAGGTTGTCGCGGAAGCTGCAAATGGTCCTGTCACTCCTCCAGCAGAGAAGATCATGGAAAGCAACGGAATAGTTGTTCTGCCAGACCTTTTGCTGAATGCTGTAAGTATGAGAATCTTCAAGGTCCATGCTTTCCTAGCATTCTTCCTTGTCCCTTGCTGCACGTCTCAGTAAAGTACTAACTCAGAAGGCATTGCCTGGACTGTAGGGTGGTGTGACGGTGTCCTACTTCGAGTGGCTGAAGAACATCAACCACATTCGCTTCGGGAGGATGAGCCGGCGTATGGAAGAACGGGGCAAACAGGTGAGGCTCACTGACCTCTAGCAAAGGTAAGTTCTTTCATGGTCACGCACTTGTTATAACACTTCTCTATTGTGCTGAGCCTTTTTCTGTTCTCAATCCCAGGCCTTGCTGGATGCTTTGGAGAAGGAGATTGCCACCGGTATAAAATTCACTGACGACACACGTCGTTCCATCATTAAAGGGTGCGTTTCCTTTCCTCTGCAGAACCGTTTTCCCGTAGTTGTGCTCCATCTTGTTTCCGCCATGTATTCTGTGTTGATGGCGAATTGTTCTTCATTCTTTGATAATGTATCCGTTTCAAGCGTTTGCTCGTTTTCCACCGCTTGAGCAGCAACACTGAGGAGGATTTTGTGTGGTCTGGCCTTGAGGAGACAATGATAAATGCCTGGGACGAAGTCAAACGCGTTGCTGAAGAAAGGGTAAGACCAGTTGAGATATATCGAAGTCCTTTCATACAAAATCAACATATCTAACAATCGTCTCTTTGATTTTTTCAGGAGTGCAACTTCCGCACAGCCTCGTATGTGATTGCCATCGAGAAGATTGCCACATGTTACCGTGTCAGTGGAATCTTTCCCTGAACTGCTCTACTGGAGGATTGCTGCATGTTGACTGCTATTCTTGGAAATTCTCGATCACCGCGCCCCAGGAGATCTAAGTGTTGCTGCAATTTGCTCCACTGCAATACCAACATCACTGTGGGATTCATCAATATGTATTTGGTACCACTCATACTGGTAATACTGGCAAAACTTTTTACACGAATGCAGTACTAGCTTCGACAGAATAATGGAACGCACAATCACGAATGGTGCACTACACATTGACGTACGATGTACATCAGGCAAGTGGTACCTAGTACCAGCTTCTTTGACTGGTCATGCCTCAAAGTAGACCTAAAGCTAATGATGGCTCTCTGAATAGACCTCCCGGTGGTGAGGGTGAAATATCTGAGGCAACCGAAGGTTCTGAGGACACCGAAGCCTGAGAGGAGAGAGAAGGCTCGCTGTCGAGGGTTCTCCCAGAGAAGAAGCTGGATGATGAATGCGGTGAGAGGATGCGGGGAGGTGGGAGCGAGTGGCAGTGTGGAGCGGCTGCTGTATCCCGAACCCATTCATGTGCTGAAAGGTGGGGATGAGGGGGAGAAGGGGTAGTAGAGGGCGTCATGAAGTGGGAAACTTGCATCCCCTAAGGAAAATGAATGCGCCTCAGATGGGAGCACACTCACAATGTGCATGACAGAGCATGACCACCCAGCTTGATTGCATACCCAAGTGCTACAACCAACAACAGCGAAAAAAAAAGAGTCACTCACCTAATGCTTCGCTTGTAGTGATTCGTCTGGTGGGGTCTTTGACCAGCATGGCTTGAAGCAGCTCCTTGGCTTCCTCAGAAACATGCTTCCAGCGCGCCGATGAGAAGCGAGGGGCTTTAGTTCGAATGGCGTTGTAAATGGCCTCGTTTGAAGCGGCCCAGAAGGGAGGCAGCCCGGAGAGCAATGCGTAGACCAGAACTCCTGTGCTCCACACGTCTGCTGGAGGGCCCCAAATGCCGTCTAGAGTCTCTGGGGCGAGATAGAGGGGTGTGCCGTATAGCTTGCACGAGGCAGCATCTGGAAACAACGGGGTTGTAGCAGGGTAATGCAGCAAGACAGAGAGGAAGGTGAGAAAGATAAAAATTTATGGAACAGGTGACGTAAAGACTATTCAAGTCCACCAGCAACAAAGAACACATAGACCCCACTTGCTGACGCATTCTTGGACATCCTGAATTGTACGTTCCAAAAAACCGCCCAAAACATGACCAGACAAGCAGGCGAGAATCACCCTGAAAGCGAAACTTCAACAGTCAAGGCAAGCTCCAACTACCCTGTCCCTCTTCCCCCGATACTCTCCACTGCCCCTCTGCTCCCCTCTGGCTCCCGAAAGAAGACTTTGACGAATATCATAAAACAGAACCACACAGTGCCGAGCAAACACTTTAAAGTCCCCCGGTGACTGACCAGGTTTGACGTCAGTGGAGATGCCAAAGTCCACGAGCTTGATCTGCTTCACACTGCCTGGCTGCAGCAGCAGCACGTTCTCCGGCTTCACATCGCGGTGCAGCACCCCGCACGTGTGGCAGTGGTGCAGCGCGGCCAGCAGCTGGCGGCACACGGGTGCTGCCATGGACTCGGGCAGACGGCCATACTGGCGCATGAAGTCGAAGAGGTCGCCGCCGCGGCACAACTCCATCACCAGAAAGATGCTCTGGTGATGGGGAGAGTGAGATGGGAGGGAAAGAGGGCATATGGGTGCTGCCATGGACTCGGAAGACGGCCGTACTGGCGCATGAAGTCGAATAGATCCCCGCCGCGACACAACTCCATCGCCCTCAGATGCTCTGGTGATGAGGGAGAGTGAGATGGGAGAGAAAAGAGCAAGACGTGGGAGGGAGAGGGGCAGCATGGCATGGCACGGCATGGCATGGCATGTCACATCATAGTAGCATGTTACGGCACAGCACTGGCTCACCTTATCATCCTCACACGCAGCATGCAGCTGAACGACATTGGGATGCCCCGACACCACCTCCATTGCGGCCACCTCCCGCCTCAGATTGCGCGCCTCGTCCGCTGACTGTGCCGTGCCATGTGGTGCAGGGGTGGGGTGGGGTGGGGTGGGGTGGAATGGGGTGGGGAAGGGTGGAGAGAGAGCGTTGGCAAGACAACGAAGTTGCATGAGGAGAGGACGAGCATGACAGACGCATGCAGCTGAATGAACCTGGGATGTACCCATACCACCTCCATTGCCGCCCATCACCCCCGCCTCAGAATTCACGCCTCATGTGCTGACTGTGCCATGCCGTGCAGAGTGGTGGAGGGAGGGAGAGAGAGAGGAGCGATGGGAAAGAGTGTACGGAGGGAAGGGGGGAGAGAGTGTGTTGGCAAAGGCCAATTGTGCAGGTGGAGAGGAGGAACAGGGGAAGCGTGTACAGGCACCCAGATGGCAGAGGAAGCGTGAAGTGAACACGCCAGCTCCTCTCAAGACTGCTCCTTTTGAAGTATGTTCCCACCGACGCACCTGCCCCTCTCTTGCCAGTTTGCCGCTTGATCGCACCTGAATGCTCTGCTTGTCGATGGTCTTGCACGCCAGCCTCGCACCACTCTCCCGCTCCACACACACGCGCACCGCGCCAAACTCCCCCCGCGCCAGCACCTCCCCTCCCATCTCAAACCGCTCCTCCACGTCAGCATACGGCCGGCCCAGGATAAACGCCCTGAACACGTCAGCATCCGCAGGTGCTGAGTCAGCACGTCCTGCCGCCCTAGCAGCCTCCCCAGAAGGGGACTTCGCAACAGCCTGCCTCCCTGCCCCTCCTCTCCCCTCCCCTCTATTCCCCTGTTGCTGCTCCCCCAGTGCCCGTCCCATGCTTCCACTTCTCCCATGCCCTCCGCCCCGCCCTCTGCCCTGCGCTCTCCCCTGCCCCTCGCCGCTGCTGCTGCTCTGCACTGCACGCACCCCTGCCCCTTCCGCCCCGCCCCTGCCATTACCAGGGAATTTCGACCCACTACTCCCCTCCGCACCAGCCCCACTCACACTCTTCCACCTCGCCTCCCCATCGCCCGCCCCACGCCGTCCCCCGTCTCCATACCCCCCATCCCCCCCCTCCCCCTCGCCCTCCTCGTCTTCCTCCTCCCCATGGTCCACACACAGCCGGTCAAACTCACCCACACCAGCACACCCCACGGACGCCGAGTGCGGGAACAGAGGCATGGGAAACGGCGCCATCCGATTGGCCCGCGCCAGCGGGTTCACTGCCGCATCCAGCCGCCCGCCGCCCGGTGTCGTCGGCCGCCCACCAGATGGCGTCGTGGGGCGGGCACCGACCGGTGTGGTCGGGCGGCCGCCGACCGGCGTTGACGGGCGGTCCGTGATGACCGTTGGATCGACTCCGGCTATCCTACCAACGGGCGTCAACGGCCGTTCAAACGCTACCGACTCATCAGTGAACGCCCCTCCTCCTCCCCCCATTCCCCCGCCTCCCCCGCGCTCCCCCACCCTCCCCCCTGGTGTCACTGCTCGCTCCATGCTCCCATCGCCTCGCCTCACAGGCGTGGTGGGCCGCGGCACCGCCCCCACACCACCCCACGCCCCTGCTGCCCCTGCTGCTCCCCCTACTCCCCCTCCCCCTCCCCCGCCATCACCACTCCCCCTGCGCTCCACGAACGACTTGGGTCGCACCTTCCCGCGGAAGCTCAGCCGGTCCGCCCTGTCCGCGCGGCTGCCCGCCTGCCCCTGTGCTGCTGCGCCCACCCCCCGCGGCACTGCTGTGTGCGGCCGCGCTGCTGCTTCCACCCGTGCTGCTGCCCCCAACCGCTCTGCCTCTACATCCAACCGCTCTCCTTCCGCATTCAACCGCTCTGCTTCCACATCTAACCGTTCTGTTGCGCGTGTGGTGAAGGCCGAGGGCGGCCCCCCTTCCGCCCCGTGCAGGGGAGTCGTTGGCCTCTCCACCGCGCGCCCCACCCGCCCCTCCCCACGCGCCCCCACTGCCGCTTCACCCCGCCTGATGGGCGTCGTAGGGCGCTCCCCGCCCGCCTCCGCGCGCAGCCGCGGAGTGCCGCCCCTCCCCTGCCCCTCAGCCGCCCCTTCCGGCCACGCTGCCGCCCCCCCCGCGTGGAGCGCCCCGTCTTCCGCCTCCTGCCTCCGCGTGGGCGTCTTGGGGCGCTCGAGCGCGCCCTCCGCGCGCAGCAGCGGCGAGGCAGGGCGCTGCCCCACGAGGGGCGTGGAGGGGCGCTCCACCACGCGCGGAGTCACTGGCGCCTGCACCCCCGCGCCTACTGCTGCTCCGCCTTCCCCTCCCCCACCCGCGGAGGCAGCGAGGCGAACCCGCTCAGCTTCGTGCAAGTCCATGCGCGCGGGCGTCCTGGGTCGCCCCACCACCACCCCCACGCCCACCGCCGCCACCCCTACACCCCCACCAGTACCGCCGCCGCCGCCGCCGCTCATGTCGCGCCTGGGGGGCGTCGAGGGTCGATCCAACGGCGCTGTGAACCCGCCCGCACCCAGCCCACTTGCGCCTGCGCCTGTCCCCTGCGCGTCCGCTGCGTGCGCCACCCACTGCCGCGGGCTGTCCTCCTGCTCCGCCACCCCCGGCCCTCCGTGTGACTGCAACCGCCCCACGCGCGTTCTCGGCCTGTCCGCTCCGCCTCCCCCGATTCCCGCGCCTGCTGCGCCTGCCGCCTCCACCCCCCCACTGCCTGCGCCGGAAACTCCCCCTCCCGAATACCCCGCGCCGGCATCCGCCCCGCGTCCTTTTAGCCGCAAGGCCGCCCTCTCCGCCACGGCGCGCGCGCTGGCGGTCGACGCGCCCTCCCCCGGCCGCACCTGCGGCGCACTCGCGCTCTTCCGCAGGGCCCGCGACGCCACCGCCCCCGCCACAGTGCGCAGGCCGCCACCGCCGCCGGGGGGAAGGGCGGCTGTCGCACTGCTTCCGCCGCCCGCAGCCGCAGCGGCGGCGGCAGCAGCGGCGCTAATCCTGACCTGCGCGCCCATTGCTCCCCTTCCTCCCCCGATTCCCCCTTCAGAGCCATCCGCGGAGGTCGTGGGCGGACCTGGTTGGACTGGCGGAACCTTCCCCGCTGTCACCGGACGGGCGCGCGCTTGCGCTTGCCCTGGTTCCGAAGGCCTCCGTACAGGGGGCAGGCCTGGCGGGGCAGCTGCGCCATGCGCGGAGGAACCGCCGGAAAGTGGGGAAAGGTTCGGAGGCGTGTGCGGCGGTGGGTGTCTGACTGCGTCTAGTTTCCGCACGGGCTGCGAGGCAGAACGCGCAAATCCGCGCCCCCCCGCGGCTGTGCCCCTGCCGGAAGGGCTCATTCCCCCCGGTCTACCGCGCCCTGTCGGCATCCGACTTGGGCTGGCGGAATCGGAGCGCGCGGAAAGCGGGGAATGGGGGAGAGTGCGGGAATGAGATCCGCCGTTATTGGTGGGATCCGTGGATTCTGGCCACGACGCGCCGCCGCCATCGGACCTAACGTCGTCTAAGCTGAGTGAATCGACGCCGTCGGATCTACTGTCCACGTCAGATGATCGGGCGGGCGGATTGCGCCCGCGGGAAGTTGCGCCGCGCGCGGAGGTCTCTGCGGGAATACCGCTCGAGGCGGAAACGCTCCGCGGAAATGCATGCCGCGCGGCGGAGGCTCTGGAAACCGCAGAGGCGACCTTTCCGCCGGCCGAACCTGACAGCCCTGGGAACGCAAACCCGCCTGGCTCGTCACCGTGGTTCGATTCAGGTTCGGAATCCGAACCTAGTCTCAGATTTTCGTGGCTTGCAGAGCCTCGCAAGGCGGGATTGCCTGCAGCATGAGGACTTCGGGGCGGTACGGATGGGTGCGAGGGTTGCACCCGTGTTTGTGATTGGGCCCACGGTGTTGTGCTGTGAGACGTGTCGGAACCTGATTGGCTCTGTGGTCTCGACTTTTCGGATTTGGACGTGGGGAATGGCCGTGATAATGGACGATCTGCGCCGCGGTCGGGTCTTGGCGCGGACGGGGGATGAGCTCTAGGAGCGGTCTCCATTAACGAGAACACAATGAAACAAAGTGAGTGCGGGCATCCATGAAGATAGGTATGGTGGATGGTTGGATGGATGGAAGATGGAGAGTCCACTCAACCTTGGGTGCCAAGCCCATGGAAACGGGGTTGCGTTGAGGGACTTGTACGCGTTAATGGCGGCTTGACACAGCCACCTCGGACACATAGTGACATCATGAAGATTGTGATATGTAAGACGATATAGATGAGGTCTAGGTAAACATCACCTATTGCTTGTTTCCAGTCTATTTTAAAAAACGGGGTTTATAATTAGCCTATAAATTTTATTAATATGCAGATAAATCACGGTGGGGAAGGGGGGTGAGTTAGAGATGGTATTGGAATTGACAACGAAATTCTCCAAGGTTCGTGTACCAACTTATCAAAGGTTGACCCCACAGATAACCATGTGCAGGTGTGTTCCACTTTCAAGGACTGCTCAGTCATGAGCTGCAAGAGTTGCAAAAGAGAAAGGTGTATTTTGCCCGACCTGTTGAAGTGGCTTGAAAAGTTCACCGATCATTTCCTGGCACTTACAGTATCTCGTATACGTCCCAAACACGCCCTCAACTTGTCGATGCTCGCTAGGATGCGACGTGTCCACTCATACATCGCAGATTCCCGCTCGGCATCATGGCTTAGAGACTTCCACGATGTAAATGCCAGGCCGCTCCGACGCGCTTGTAATTCGTCCGAATTCAACGCCGCACATACAGTCAACTGTGCGTATTCTGCGTAATTTTCTCTTCGTTCGTGACTTGCCCGTCATCCCACATCTCGCGAGTTCCTTGCTGCACGACTGGACTTGCGGTCGCCCTTCCACAGGAGTGACAATCATGGCTCGGTCTATTCCGTGCTCGTTAATCGGGTCGCTAGACGGCCATGCACGCGTCGCAGCATCGAGAACCAGCACGCCGCCTGAGTGCGCCCCAGCGCGTTCCCGCCACGTGCTTTCTCTTCCTTCACTAACCACACACGCGGCGGCCTCGGCTTCTCAGGCTCTTCGATGCGCTTCACCTCCGCCGCAGCGCCTTTCCGTTCCGCCTTGCTGCGCGCAACTCTCCGCCATGGCGGCGATGCGCGCACAGCCTAACCGCGAGAACTATCACCGCGCAGACGCGGCGCAGTCCCGGTGCTTCGAGGCGGCGAGCGTCGGAAGCACGACGAGAGATATCCGTTCCTTGCAAACGCATTTGCGTTTGCATGCGCAGCCCTCCCGGCATCGCGCGCGGTGCGCTGCCATTCCGCCAGACGCTGCCGCCGCCCTTGCAGAACAAATCGCCTCCGCCGCTCATGTTGCCGACGCAGCTGCTAGCCTAGCAGACTCGTCCCCCGCCGCTACCGCTGCTGCTGCTGCTGCGTCGGGTGACCTGGGGGTGTCTGGAGGCGGAGGACGGTCGGAGGTGACGTGGCAAATCGTGGTTGGTGCAATCGGTGAGTTGTGAGAGAGTTTAAAGCATTGAAGGAGCAGACAGAGACTGGCAGAGAGCAGACGGAGAACGCGAGTGCACCTTCTTCTCGGCTCACCTCACCTCCATGTGCTCGTCAAAGCGCCTCTAAGCTGATCCCCCTCTTCCCCGTCTTCCCCCTCTTCAACCTCTTCCCCCTCTTCCCCCTCTTCCCCCCTATCCACCCCATCCTCCTCATTGTCATCCCCCACCCACTGTACCATCCCTGTCCGTGCCTTCCCCTCTGTCGTCCCTGCACCAATCACCACGTGCCAGCTGGCGTGATCCCGTTCATCGTGGCGTCCATTGAGTTCGGCAAGCGCATTGTGAGTCACCTTCCCCCCTGTGTGTCGCCCTGTGTGTCTCCCTGTGTGTCGCCCTGTGTGTCACCCTGTCTCATCACCTGCTTGTCAAAATGATGATAATGAGCGACGAGTCACTTCGTACTCTCTCTTATCAATCCTCCATCCCTCACCGCTGACCTGGATGGCTGTTGCGCGTCATCTATTGCAACGCGTGCATTGCGCACCTAGGGTGATGAAGCCCTCTCCACGCCCTTGCTCTGCTCCTCGCCTCTTTATGCTCCCCTCTCTGCCTGCGCCTCCTCATTGCAGCCTTTTAGCGCCGATGTGAACCATGCCAAATGTGTGACTCATTTATTCTCATCTACCTCCCTCCCTCACTCCACCCCCTTCCTCTCTGACCTCGTCCAATTCCCCCCCGGCTCGCCTCTCCGCCCAGGCGGCGCAGCGGCGCTGTGAGGCGTGTCGGGGGTCGGGGCTGCAGCTCGTGGGGCGCTTCTACCGCCGCTGCTCCGCCTGCGGTCAGTGTGAAGGGGAGTGTGAAGGGGAGTGTGAAGGGGCGTGGCACGTGTGGGTGGGTGTGGCATGCATGTGTGTAAAGGCCGTGGCATGCATGTGTGTGTGTAAAGGCTGTGGCATGCATGTGTGTAAAGGCTGTGGCATGCATGTGTGTAAAGGCTGTGGCATGCATGTGTGTAAAGGCTGTGGCATGCATGTGTGTAAAGGCTGTGGCATGCATGTGTGTAAAGGCTGTGGCATGCATGTGTGTAAAGGCTGTGGCATGCATGTGTGTAAAGGCTGTGGCATGCATGTGTGTAAAGGCTGTGGCATGCATGTGTGTAAAGGCTGTGGCATGCATGTGTGTAAAGGCTGTGGCATGCATGTGTGTAAAGGCTGTGGCATGCATGTTTGTAAAGGCTGTGGCATGCATGTGTGTAAAGGCTGTGGCATGCATGTGTGTAAAGGCTGTGGCATGCATGTGTGTAAAGGCTGTGGCATGCATGTGTGTAAAGGCTGTGGCATGCATGTGTGTAAAGGCTGTGGCATGCATGTGTGTAAAGGCTGTGGCATGCATGTGTGTAAAGGCTGTGGCATGCATGTTTGTAAAGGCTGTGGCATGCATGTTTGTAAAGGCTGTGGCATGCATGTTTGTAAAGGCTGTGGCATGCATGTTTGTAAAGGCTGTGGCATGCATGTGTGTAAAGGCTGTGGCAAGCATGTGTGTAAGGTCGGTTGCATGCGCGAATGTGCGAAAGGCTGTTGCACATGGAGTAAATCGATGATGCAACCCCTCACATGCTTCGCCATCACCACCTACTCACCTGCACAACCTGAGGGGGAGCTCCTTTTGCGGCTCTGCCTGCTGTGGTGGGCACACAGGGCTCCCTCAACTGCGTGCCATGGATGTTACTGGGTATTGCCGGGCATGCAGCTACGTGCAGTCAGTAACCATGTTCCTCCCTTGGTTCTGTTGTGCTGTGCAGGCGGTTTCCTGCCTTGGCAATCCTGGCGCAGGTTCTTCCTAGGCTGAATGCAGGAGGGAGCGTCCGTAACACTTGTGCTACCTGGGTACTGTATGTTGGCCAATATTTCACCTACAAGCAGAGGGAAAACCGCTCATTTGTATTGTAAGAAATGTTACAGTAACTGGAACATTGCAATGCAGTTGGTCCGTGACTAGCCTTGCCACCATTGGTGCAGAGGCAGAGAGGGTGGACTAGGAAGAGGGAAGGGCTTACTTACTACCACCCATCACCTGTGGGTGATGTGATGGCAGTCTGGCAGCCTGCTAGCTGCCACTCGCACCTGTGTGTGCCTGGACAACTTGTCAGCATCAGTTGTGTCGACCCAAGGCGAAGAGGGATGCAAAAGCAAAAGGGGAAGACCAGAAATCACGATCACCGAAGTGATTGTTTCACAGTGGTGTGGTTCCATGCATGTTCAGGCAGGAAAAGTGCCGCGCAACGTTACAACACGAGGATTGTGTAAACATGCACAGCTTGAATGGCCCTTCATGGTGCTGCAATCGTGAATTGCTCTACTGGTCAGGAAACTCCTCATTTCTCCTCATTCTACCATACCCTTTCCAGCAAACACTTGCACTTAGAACGCAACTTTCTCACCATTAACCCGCAGCTATCTTTTTACTGTAATTACCTCAATACCATAATCAAAATTCCCGCTTCTCTTGTAAAGCATATGCCTCAGCCCCTATACTCACAATCTGTTACCACAACTGCCCTCTATAATCGCTATCAGTTCCCACCACCCAGAGAGACAGGGCACCCCGCAGACCTCCACTCAACTTCACTCTTCTTTCCAACGACCATGCAAGTGGCTACCCTCCTTGCAACTCTCCTTGCCGATTCGCTTGAAGCTGTGCCTGGGACCGTTGATGCGCCTGTCTGTGCACCTGACCACCCCAATGATCCATCCACCATCCCCCCACCTCCCTGCACCAACTTTGCGGCACTTCCATAAGAGCAACTCTGCTCGCCTGTCTCCCTGCCCTGCCGCAATCCTTGCTCCCCTCTCCCCCACTCCTCTTCTTGTCGGGCCATGTGAGTGTGTGGGAGGGCCAGTGCGCCTTCTGGCACTCTTCGCTGCAACACGCTGCCTTGCCACACCCACCGCACCTCCTCAACTTCTTATCACCGCACTGCAGGACCACACACACGGCTTTACACATCTGAAGGAGCAGCAGCAGCAACAGCAGCAGCAGCAGCACGGGTGCTCACAGCAGCAGGGGCAGAAGAACCGGCAGGGATGGGAGGGGAGGCAGGGCGGTAACAGGGCTCCCCCAGCAGCATCTCTCGCAAACATGCCACCACATTGACTCCCCCCGGCCATGCGTTGAGATAAGCCGGCTCCTCCCCCTGCTTGCCAATCCGCTTGTTAGACCTGCTGCTGCCAACCCTCGAAGCACCATTGCTGCTGCTGCTGTTGTTGCTGCTGGCAGTGCTGCTGGCAGTACTGCTGCTGCTGGCAGTGCTGCTGCTCCCCTTGGCAGACCCACGCTGCCCCTGCAACCCCTCACAGTACCTCGGTGCGATTGCTGCCTCAAAAACCCACGTAATGTCCCACTCCTCTGCCATTCTCTCTCCATTCTTGCCGCCTCTACACTCCTCGCTCTCTCCCTCGCTCCCCGCATTGAACTTCCATGCAACAATTGCAGCGGAATACCACATCTGCACCTCCTCCCACACCTCCCCACCGTTCTCCCGAACTGCCTCATCATCCCAGCGGCCTTGCACCTTGGACCGTCCCGCCCGCCCTCTAACCCTGCATTCCTCCTCAAACTCATCATCCATCCCCAAAAGAAAATCTGCGAACCACACTGCCATGCGAATGAGAAAGTACAGAGGCACCTGATCGGCTCGCCTCAGCAGCATATGCAGGTTTAGCGGCCTGGGCAGGTGCGGTGGGAAGTCCAAGCACTCAACGACATCGTCAAAGCCACGGGAGGATGGCGGGAAGACCGAGAGCACGCGGGAGAACAGATGGCTGACGAAGCGGTAGGCAAAGTTGGTGATAAGAGCAGCGATGCACACAGAATGCATGAATTCTGCGAAGCACATGCTGCACTGGGTGCACATGGGAGGGTCCACGATATACCCCGCGAAACCCCAACAGGAAGTCCACATCTGCCCGGCAGCGAACGATAGGAAGCTTCCTTCTGGGCGGCGGTAGCATCGTTGCTCTCTGCTTGACGGTTTGACGTGCATCAGCTCTCTCACGCGCTCTGCTCTGCATGCCTTCTACCCACCCTCCTTGCTCAACTGCCTTGGCAACTTTCCTCCTTGCACTCCTGATGTTCCCTTCTGCTTCAAGTACCTCACGCGCCATGCGCTGACTTCCTCACCACTTTCTTTGCCTGCTGCATTGAATCCTTCTTCTTTTGCATGCATGCCGCCCCTTACTGCTTCAGACGTGTCATGAGGAGGGTCCTGAGTCAACTTCTCAGCCGCCTCTCCACACTCCTCCACAATCCCAAGCCCAAAACTCCTCTCCTTGCGGTTCACAGGAACATTTACAGCAAATTCGTCTACCTGAGGCCACTCTTCCCACTTCAAAGCAGCGCTGCTTTCATCCAAACGCTTGGGAATGGCGCCGAACCTGACCAGAAGGCTCGGAAGGTCCCGAAGCGGGTAGCGCATGGGGCGGTCGTTGAAGTGAGGGTCGTCCTTGAACCACTGTTACCCTGAGATGGAATCTGAGCCGTAGACTCGGACCCACTGCAAGATGCAACCGACCCGGTACATGAGTGCAGCAACCACAGAATTCGTATTGACAGGCACGAACCTGTTGGCAAGCATGGGTTTAGCATTCATATCAATCCTTGCAGCAGCAGGAGCAGGCGCAGATCGCCCTACACCTGCTCTTGCCCCTCCACTCATCCCACTTCTCTGCTTGAAGCCGTGCTGCCGCAGCCTCCTCCTGGCCACCAGAATAGCGGCACTCTCTACCTGCATCTTGCTCGCGTTGTTGCCATCATGCAAAAACAGCTCCGCATCCTCCCAATGCTCTGGCTTAGATAATGCTGTGGTGAAAGCAAGGGCGAAATCGGTTGCATTTACACCACTCACATGCATACCCTTCGGAGCATTGCTACTGCCATTGCTGCTGCCATTACTGCTGCCATAACTGCTGGCGCTGCTGCTGCTGCTGCTGGCACCGCCGTCATAGCTGTTGTTGTTGTTGCTGCTGCTGCTGCCGCCCTCACTGTAGTGACTGCAACGGAACTCCCTCCCTTCCCCCACTCCATGCTCCAAAATCCAAGCCATACCATCCACATACCTCTCCCACACAGGTCCCTTCAATCTATCCCTCCAAGTCAAGCCCTTCCTTACCCTCCCACACTTCTCAGCGACCCCACTGACCCCTACCTTGCCCTCTGTCTCGTCCTCTCCGTGTCTCCCATCGTCCTTCCCACGTGACGCCTCCCATATGCCCTTGCCCTTCCCATGCATCTCTTCAGCACCCTTCTCCCCAGCCCGCCTTCTCCCCTTCCCCTTCCCTTGTGTTTTCTCAACACCCTTCTCCTCAGCCGACCCTCTCCCCTTCCCCTTCCCTTGCGCTTTCTCTGCAGCCTTCCCTCCAGCTCCCCTCCTCCCCTCTGCATGCTCCTTCTCCAGCCCCCCGAAGAGAAGATGCTGCACAGAGAACCCAAACCCTTCCTTCAAATCACCACTCTCCTTCACCCCCAACACCTGCACCAGCATGGACGCAAAGCAATCTTTCTCCTCCTGCATGCCCGCCCCCAGCTTAGCCACAATCGCTGGCCAGACTGATTCAAACGAGATCAGGTGAGCTTTCCATAGAGTCATAAGGCGGGGGGGTCTCGCCAGAAGCACGAGGAATGTGGAGAAGCTGACAGCACGAGGAATATAGGCAGACCAGCAGCTATGGCTGCAGCGCTAGCAGCATGACCATGCTGCAGAAGGAGCAGCATCGGCAAGAGCAGCAGGAGAAGTAGCAGTAGCAGGAGCGAAAGGAGTAGAAGAAGAGGAAGCAGCAGTAGGAGCAGCTGTTGTAGAACACAAAATAATAGGCAAGCGGGATCGAATCCTCCCCAGGTCCATGAGCACACCCACAGAGG